CCGCCCCTGAAAGACATCCAACGCCACAAGAAGGAGGGAGACCACCGGCTCCAGGGGTACACATCCTGCCCCCTGGCCCCTCTGCACCAGAGGGAGGAGAACACCGCTCCAGGGGTACACATCCGCCTCCCGAAGACAACACTGCACCAGAGGAGGAGACTACCGCCCCAAAGGAGGAGACTCCCGCTCCAGCCTACACATCCGCCCCTGAAGACACCAACGCACCAGAGGAGGAGACTACCGCCCCCGAGGAGGAGACTACCGCTCCAGCCTACACGACCGCTCCTGAAGAGGAAACAACTGCTCCTGTGGACACACTGCCCAAGGAGGACACGACGGCTCCAGTGTACACGTCCGCCCCCACCCCTGCTCCTGCATACACGTCCGACCCAGCTGAGGACGAGGCTCAGATTCTGGTCGCCCAGGACGACGCCGCCACTTACCCCCCAATGGATGTCGTCTTCTAAAGCTGTTGACCCTCCTTCAGCGTGAAGACCGGACCAACTTTTATATTTTGCATGCAGATATTTTGAATGTCTTCGGGTCTCAACGCCCAGCTGAAATCTGGTGGCAAGGACGGAAGCGGTCGTCGGACTCGGACTCTTGCGTTTGTGCTCGGGACATTTTGCTGGCGACTTTCAGATTTACTTACTGTAGATAGATGATCGAGTAGCTAGCAGGAAGAAGAGCTTTTTATAAATGTTGTTTAGCCATTTTTTCTCTCAATCGTCTTGAGTTCTTCAGTTTGTCAAACAAATGAATCGAAGACACGTAATTCGCAGTCTCCACTTTCGTACATGTAGTTAGAAGAAGAAGTCCAATATGCTATACTTGGAGAAAACCTGGTGACAGACAGGCCTTCCGAATAATACATTGCAGTGAGAATAATATGGCAATATTTGAATGGAATAATTTATTTTTCAGCTGTGATGAAAAATTTCAGTAAGGAATTTCTAGTATCGTCATTAATTATTTGTAGCCCATCTGAGTCTGGTCTGTCTGTCACGGGCTAGGGTTAATTAATGTAACGCAAATGCGCGCATTCTACTGGCTGCCGAGCGCAGCGAAGGCGGCCTCGATTCGCTAAAATTGCAATATGTGGTGTACACACTGTATGTGGTCAACACATCGTACTTAAATGCACCGTTCAAATTTCATTTTGCCCCATTTTCAACTGTGGGCCGCCACCTCATGCGAAGGGCGCCTCCTGTGTACGCGTTAGTTAGCATAATTAAATAGCGCCGATGAGCACACACGTACAATATCGTCGTAGGAGCCGCTGCAAATTTTTGTAGGCCCTGGTGACTTATATTTCGGCCTCAATCGAAACTTTAGTACTTATTGGATATAGAATGATGTTTTAGGCTTCGTAGTACTTTTCTAATGAGTTTAATTTCAATACTGTTTTGCGTAGTACTATTTTAAATACAATTCATTTTTTAATTGCAGTTATTTGTAGTAGTAGTACACATAATTGCTATATCAACGTTTGATAATAAATAACAAATATATTACTATAAATAATAATGTGAAAACTTTAAATACGACCATTGTGGCTTGCCTCCGGGAAAAAGTGTCACCTTCCTTTGTATTTGCGCACGTAGTGTGCGACCTGAAGATATTGTGCGAGTTTTCCAACAATATATGTAGCGTACATCAAACGAAATGGAAACAGCGTTTGTGATTAAGTTAGCGCGGAGGCTAAGCAAGAACACAAAACGCGAAGGAACACCGACCCACACTATGTAGACGATGGGATAAAAGAGCAACACGAAGCACGGAAGGCAACGGACGATGATAGAAGACTTAGCCTATGCAAACCACGAAGTTTCATGCGTAGCGTGAAAGACGGAAAAACATGCAGCTATGAAAAGGACAGAGGGACAAGAATATGACGGGAGCGTACAGACCACGGAAGGGAAATAGATATACAGACACCCCAGCATGCTAAAAAGGGTGGCTACGGAAGAGTACGCACGTAGCGGTAAGAGTGCATGGACAGCAACTCTCCCATAGCACCACGGAAGAGCACGGAGTACGGTCGCCGGACCAGGCATGAAGCGGCGGGAATCCAAAAAACGGGAAGTCATCGAGCATTAGAGCACGTTATCAGGGTAGAACCGGATCTCACCAAGCCAGGGAGCACGATACTACGGTACCTAACAATCACACGGACGACAGACCAGCCGCGACACCACAAGCTAGCACGATAGCATGGGCTGTGCCACTAAGCCATGGGAGAACGCAGCCGCAGAGCTATAGACGTAAAATCACCGTGCCGCGGAGAACGATACCAGTGTTGAACCTGAGCTTACCGAGCCACGGAGGACAGTACTACATTAGAACTAGATTGCACGAACGGCGGGCCAGCCACGAAATAAACGGGGAGGGGGGCGCTTGGGGTGACCACGACTGCACACTGTGGAGCACGATGCCATTGTAGAGCACGATAACACGGGCAACGCAGATGCACTACGCGAGCACAATACCATAAATATCACTACCACACCGCAATTGCACGACGGCGTGATAACGCGGTCGATGGAGCCTCACCAGGCAAGCACGATACACGGGCGACGGAATAACACGACTGCGTGGAGACACTAAACCACGGAAGAGCACCCTTCGGCTAGAGTACCGGCGATGGGAGGCCAATGGCCACGAAAGACTACGTACCACAAAACCCGTGCAGCCCACGTAAACGTTTGAGAACAGGGAATATCTGGCAGCCACGAAAAAGGCCGCACTAAAGAGCATGATCCCAAAAGAGAGGGCGATAACCCAGTAAGCTGCGTGTGCCACGGGTGAGCAGGGAACAGAAAGAGCACGGAAGAGCATGGGCCACAACATCCAACCTGTAGTACGGGGTAACGGAAACGTACCAAACCACGATATTATTCGGGTCCACATGAGACTACGGAATGGTAAGGGGTTAAGTACACGAAGCCACGGCGTACTGGGGTGAGCGACGCTTACAACGCACGCGACACCAAGAAGCACTTCCATTTGCGGCCACCTTATCTCCAACAAACCATGCCACTCCGCCGCGTAGCGGCGGCGAACGGCTAGTCTTACCCCTCTAGTGGAGTGTGCTCTGCGTCAGTCCGTCAGTCCGTCCGAGGGTAGGGTTCTAAAATGTAACGCTAATGCGGGCGTTCTACTGGCTGCCGAGCGCAGCGAAGGCGGCTTCGATTCGCTAAATTGTGATATGTGGTGTACACACTGTATGTGGTCAACACATCGTACTTAAATGCATCGTTCAAATTTCGTTTTGCCCCCATTTTTAACGCTGGAGCGCCACCTCACGCAAAGGGCGCTTCCTGTGTACGCGTTAGTTAGCATAATTAAATAGCGCCGATGAGCACACACGTACAATATCGTCGTATGAGCCGCTGCAAATTTTTGTAGGGCCTTGGTGACTTTTATTTCGGCTTAAATGAAGCCTTTAGTACTTATTGGTTATAATATGATTTGTTTTAGCTTTGTAGCATTTTTTTTACTTTCTAAGATAATTTTGCTTAGTACTATTCTAAAGTCTCATATTATTGCTTGCAGACGTTTGTAGTAGTACTACACAAAATTAATTTAGTAGCGCTTATCAAATTT